CTCACCCACTACCTTCTGCTTTTGCACCTCTCAGTGACATGCTCTGTTGGCACATGATTTGCAGATGTTCTCATGCACAGGTGTTCAACGTTATGATTTATACAGATACAGATAAAAGGCAATATGAAAACTAATAATAATGAGATGTCAGAGCTGACATGGCAGGGCTGGGGAAACAGGTATCTGTTTTAAGTCGGGACCACACCTGTACTTGTCACCCATGAAAATGAAATACAACACCCTGACCTAATCTCCAGAACATAAATGGAACAAACTTTAAATTGTTGAGGAAAACACTATCACTGAATTAAATTCAGGGACATGAAAAATTACACACTACACTGCTTTGTAGTGTACACACACACACACACACACACACCCCAGCTGTACATATCCAATGTTTACAAAAGCAACTTAAGGAATTAGACAAGGTTCTAGCTTCCTTTAACAATGTTTTTAGGCGGTTAATGTGGGCCATTGACTGCGTGACAATAAACCAGGAAAGTAGCTAACAGGGCCCACAGGACCCAGAGCCTCTGGGTGGAAGAAGTCCTCACCAACTGGAATATAGGAGAGACACACCCAGCCCGACTGGGCAGGGCCTGGGAAGCATAGGGCAGCCGGCTATTTGGAGCAGGGATGTGAAAGGCTTCGATGAACAGTTCCAGGCAGAGTGTTTGGGGACAAAGCATTGTACTCTATTCCCCACCCCACTGGCAAATGAGGGCTTTGCCAATTCCTGAGAGACAGCCTCTGAAACCCAGGAATTCCTCATGACGAGGTGTCTTTGGGGAGAAATCTGGGGCTTTCTACCCTATGAAGAGTTCAGGTCTCAGAAACCCACAGGGGCTATTCTACACTGTCTATAGGGTTGCTCTGAGTCAGCCTGGACTCAATGGCAGTGAGTTTAATCCATGCCCTGGGCTTCCTTCTTTTTTATGCTAAAGGCATAATTAAAATTTCTCAACTCATGTCAAGCAGGAGTGAACTCATGAGCCGGAGACCCAGCTTCCTCTGCTTGTGTGGGTTACATTACTGAGCGCTGCCTATTTTGACTGGGAACTGTCATGCTATATTGGTGCCCGGATGCACTTGCTCACAATGCATCGGCAGCACAGGCTGCAATCACTTAATCTTTGACCTCTTCTCATTTAGAAATTGTCCCTAGAAAAAGAGATGACGATCGCCAGAATAACACGCTTTGTGAATAAAATGTTTTGGAGTTGTTTTCTCTGAGATGGAGGTCCCTCCCTACTGTGCTGTCCACGCCCTGAAATGTGTCATTAGCTAGACAGCACAGCTATGCACCTCTGGGCCACCCACGCAACCACCACCCCATGAGGATTCCAGCCCTGTGGCAGGTGGGCCACCTGGTCCTTTTCCTGACAGATCTTAGCATCCTGGAGCTCCAGGCACAGAGGAGGCCCACCCTTCCTGTGTTCTAAATGGGTGGGCCCAGGAGACCACCAGAAAGGCCTATAAACAGTTTTGCATGTGCAACAACATCAAGCCATTTCACTCTCTTCAAGGATCTTCCCTACAGACAGATACAGAGGAGCCCAGGTGTAGCAGGTTACCCAATGGGCTGCTAGCCATGACGTCAGCAGTTAAAGCCCACCAGGTACTCCATGAGAGAAGATGACGCTTTCTGCTCCCCTGAAGATGGACAGCCTCAGTTCCACCCTGCTCCACGGGGATGCTTTGAGTCAGGAGCAACTCCGCGGCAGTGAGGGTAGTGTTAAATATGCACAATCCAGGGAGGAATGCATAGACTCTAAGAGTCAGGTGAAGGGGAACTGGGTCAGGCGTAGATGGCTGGCTGACTTTGCACAGTGCAGCTTTAGAACCTTTGCCAACTCTGCACATTTTCCTACTTGGCCCCATTCTAACTAATCCATAATACCACTAGTTACCAGTTAAGGAGTCAGGGACTCTGACGAGCACCTGTGTGCACTGCCTCATTAATAACCCACCCTGTGCAGCTGTGTGGGGGGCACGCAGCATCTCCACTGTAGAACTGAGGAAGCAAGTTCTTGCCCAAAGGCACGGGGCGAGTGAAGTGTGAGAACCAGCAATGAGCCCAGGTGTGTCGGCCTTACCAGTTCGGGCTTCTTTTTTTTTTTTAGACAGCCATGTGTATTGAACAGGGATCAAGTTTTGTTTTGTTTTTTCTTTTTAATCATCTTATTAGGGGCTCATAAGCAGTTCGGGCTTCTAACCACTACCCTATGCGGCAAGGATTCTTAATCAAGGGTGATTTTTTCCCCTTCTCCCACTTCCCAGGGCAGCTGGCCCTGTCTAGACATTTTTGATTGTCCCAGCTTGTGGGAGTGGGGTGGGAGGGGGAGGCTGGTACTACTGGCATCTAGTGGGTGGACACCAGGGATGCTGCTAAATGTCCTCCCATGCACAGGACAGTCCCTACAACACAATCATTCAGCCCCAGGCGCCAAGAGTACCAGGAAACCGAGGTTAGAAACCCTGCACCCCTGGAACAAGACAGCAAAACCATGTGCTGACCTAAACACTCACAGTCTTTCCACCATGTCTTCTTCCCCTATTACAGCCACCACATACCAAACAGGACCCAGATCCTCCTCGCTCCTCAAGGAACTGCAGCAGGTCAAGCCTCATCACATCAGTGCTCTCTCCGGCCCCACCTGCTAGTTCCTCTTGGGCCAATCTAGGCTGATCAGCAGTCAGATCACGACAGTCGAGTGCTTAACCACTGTGTCACCAGGCCTCCTTCTACACAGCAGACACTGTGAATGGCATAATTCATTTTATTTCATTCTCAGATTCGTTCTGAGATAGAAGCCATCAACCCTACCTTACAGGTGAGGAAACCCAGGCCCAGAGACAATGTGGCCGCCAGGGCACAGTCTGTTAACAAAGGAGCCAAGATGCATACAGACTCCAGAGGCCTGGACACTGCCTCTTCCCAGTCAGCAGAGCCAGGCAGACAATCTGATCGTGCCCTTCCCGCAGGCTTTGCCACCTCGGTCAAGCCTCCCGCCAGGCACCTCCTCCTGCATGGAGGGAGGAGATTCGTCCTCCGGCATCTCTCACTGGGTACTGTGACTGTCTACTCCACGAGGCACTGCCTTGCTTCCCAGATGCCATCTTCCTCATCTCTCCGTCCGCATCTAGCACAGCTTCTCATCCTCATGGGCCCTGACAATGCTGGCCGAGACAGCAAGCCAGGACCATCCCTCCCATGCCCCCCCAACCCCAGCACCAGAAACCCCACCTGAAGGTCACAGGAGCCTGCCTAGCGAGTAGGACCAGCCTTCGTTCACCATTCAATTCAGTGGACCTCTCCTCAGGCTGGGGCTGAGCCCCACAGTGAATAAGCAAGCCACAGCCACAAACAGTACAAATTTCCCTCCACACGCCTTCTGGAGAATGTCACCCTGGGGTTGGAGTGGCTTCACTCAGCTGGCTTTTCCCTAGCCTTGGGGCAGTCCCAGCCACTCTAGGTACTAGAGGTACTAGATGCAGTCGCTGGCTTAAGTCTGGGGGCTGAGTTGCAACAAAAATGTGTTGCTTCAAGCAAGACCATTTTGAAAGACATGGGTGTGAGCTCCCGGCTGCCCGATGCAGTATGAGCAGGAGCTGGGGCAGCCAGCTCCGACCATGAGGCAGAAACCCAGGTTTGAGCAAAGAACTCCGTTCCAGGTTGACCTCAGAGAGCAAAGCTAGCTATCTCCCCAGCGGGGGCCTGACCACTTCCCAGCTGCATAAGGGGTGAGGAATAAATGTCGATTTTGTTTCACACACTCTATTTGGGGGTCACGTTGTGGGAGCATTTTAAAGCATACCTGTTTAAAACAAGGTGTGAGCCCTGTCAGTGATTAGCTCACTCTGGTCTGTTAGTGAAACAATATTCTTTCTACCAACAACTTCTCAGACTCTCACACTGGTGCTGCTGCTACTGACTGCTGTCCAGTGGATTCCAGCTGGTGGTAACGCCACGTGTACAGACATGGGCTCCACGGGGGCTTCGGCGCTGGGTCTGTCTTCCAACACATCACCGGGTAGATTTGACTCTCCGACCCTCTGGCTCATCGTCACCCCTTCAACAACTGGCAACCTATTTCTACTACGCCCCCTTTTTCTTGCTCCGCCCCAGGAAAGTATTCCCACACAGAAAGCTTGTCTTGAAAGTGGTTTGACTCCAGTGGTGCCTAGAGAGGAAAGGCGGAGAAGCAGTCAGCCCTGTTTGCTTCTTCTCGGGAGTCACGGACGGACGTACCTCAGATTGCCCAACAGCCTGGGCTACTCTTCTCTGACAGTCTGTCCCTGGCGTCAACTCCAGCTTGGCTCCCCTCCTCCAGCTCGTTACCTGAAGCAAAGAGAGCAAAGAGGGAAATCTGATGAAAACCCCAGGAGCCAGGCAGTGGCCACTGCAGAGTGCTCAGCACAGAACATGGCACAAACTCAGTGCTCAAGAAATGCTCTCAGGGTTGGCTGGTCATGTGCCACGCACTGTGTGGACCCCTGAGATACATACATGAGTACACCCAGTCCCATTCCCTCTGCTCAGCACTCCTGTTCCAGGAAAAGCACAATACAATGTCGATCGGCCAAAACACCACAGAGGCTGTGATCAGGGATTACCAGAGCACCAACTCCCCAGGCCCACTTTACTTCAGTTTGCACTATCACCCTAGGGTGGCGAGTCCCCACCTAGCGCATTCTTGACCTTTGGTGAGTGTCAGTTCCTAGATCTTCACTGGACAGCTCCACTGGAATGTTCTATGCACTCCCAGGCTCACCTGGACTGTTCTAGTAACCTTTCAGAGGCCCCTCAGGCTAGTCTTCACATAGCTAGAGTAATGTTTCTAATTCACAAATCTTAGCCTTAAATGGCTTCCCAGGAACCTAACCTTTAGAGTCCTTAACTAGGCTTATGGCCACACCACAGTCACCTACATCAATCTCTCACCCTTCTCTCGGTGAAGAACGCATTCTAACTATTAAACTGGCCCTCCGAGTTTTCTCACAAGCTACATCTTCAACTCTTCCCTTTGCCTGACTTCACCCCACGAAACAGGCCTCCGTGTCTTGGGGGCAGATGTCACCCTAGATTTCACTAACACTGGGTGAGGTGCCCCTCCTTCATGATCCCACAGAGGGGCGGGGGGCTTTTCTTCCATCAGAGCAGTATCCTATCAGAACTGCCTATTCATTTTGATACACGTCAACAATGACAGCAACATACACTTCTAGCAGGAAGTGTTTTAGCACTTTATACCTACTATGGCATTTAATCTGTATAACACTTAAACCCAGTGCCTGCGAATCAATTGCTCACAACGCCGGAAGCCTGTTAAGTTTCCGGGGCTGTAAATCTTGACAGGAGTAATAAAACTCATCTTTCCCCCAAGGAGGGACTGGGGGTTTTGAACTGCTGACCTTGAGGTTAGCAGCCCGAAGGAAACCCACCACCCCACCGGGATTACGTAAAACACCTTGAAAGGTCTCTGCTTTAAGGTTGCGGAAACTGAGGCTGAGCGCGAGCGAGCCTAACGTGTCTAAGGGAGCAGCCCGCGGTGGGGTTCAAGTCCAGCACCCCGACTCCACCGTTCACACTCCCAGCCCAACTCCGGGATGCCTGTCTGGGCCACTTGCGGTCTCCGAGAACCTAGCAGGTCTAGAGCATGAATGAATGAACGAAGCTACTTGATATAGGGGTAGCGACTGCCTCTCAAACTACTAGCACCCCTAGGCGCCCCCAGGAAGGGGCCGCTGGCCAGAGCCGGCTGAAGTGAGCGAGCCCGGCTCTACGCCACCTCGCGGCTGCAGAACGCCCACCGCCGCGGGGC